TAATTTTTAAGAATTTGAATGAAGGTTGTTTAGAATAAATAGATGATAAATGTCTACTTTGTTAAGAAGGTTGGATATAAAATGAAATTCTAGAAAATTGTCATCCAATTTGTGGAGATGGAATAATTCAAGGTTAAGAATAATGTGATACTCTAGTATCAAATCATTCTTGTTATCAGTGCAAATATTCTTGTATTGAATATTGTTAAATTTGTTCATTTGGAATTTTTTTATAATGTATAGACGGATTTATAATTAATGCCAATTTTAGTTGTGATCCTCTGTGTGGAGATGGCAATTTGACCCCATATTCAGTTGAATTATGTGAACTGACTGTTAATGGTGTATGGGATGGTTGTCTTGATTGCAAATTTATTTCAATAGCTAATTGTAAGATAAACTATATTTCAATTTGCTTAGAGTGTGAAGTAGGATATTAATTGTTAGAAAATTCATGTTATCCTTATTGTGGAGACAAATTAGTTCTGTAATAATACGAGGATTGTGATGATGGAAATCTTCAACCTTATGATGGTTGTTATTAATGTAAGTTTTAATGCATTGAAGATTGCAACATATGTGATCTAGGGTAGTGCATTTTAAAATGTGGAGATGGTTATGAGTTTGTTAATAACAACTGTCACTCTATTTGTGGTGATTAAATTATTACAAAAGAAGAAGATTGTGATGATGGCAATAAAATAAAATTTGATGGTTGTTTTTAATGTAAGTATTCTTGTCCAGAAAATTGTTTCGATTGTTATCAAGGTACTTGTTTAGAGTGCAATGATTAATACTAATTACTAATTTCAAATTAATGCAAATAATAATTAAATTGCGGAGATGGATTGATTTAGGAACAAGAGGAATGTGATGATGGTAATAGTTATGCAGCCGATGGATGCAAGGATTGTTTTATTGAATAAAATTGGGTTTGCATCACAATTACAAAAGATTCTCCTAGCTAATGTACATTTGTCAAAGCTCCAATCTTAGTTGTTAATTAAGAATAGTTCAAAATAAAACAGTTGTATTTTTTATTCAATGAACCTTAAGTAAAAATAGGTAATAAATGGAGAATTTTCCTGTGTCCATCGTGAAATACAATATTAATTTGATTTAAAGCTTTATGTTTTCGATTAATGAAATACATTAGAATATATTCAAATTACCTAAATAAATTCAAAATTTCGCTGTTAAAATAATATAATCATTTCATTCGTTTTATTTCTCTTTTATTTGATTTAATAGTCATAAACTATTCTTCTGTAATTTTTATTTATTCTAGCATGTAATTGACCTAAGTTAATTAAGAATTAATAAAACTACTGACTTAATTTGATTCTTTTAGCTCAAAAAATATATTTTATTTAGATAGATTCCTTAGAGAGTACATATCGACCATTTCCTTTTTGAGCTTCCTTCACTCGATTCTAAATATCTTAGTTGGAGGAACATCAATTCTCAAAGCTTCCTTTAGAGATATTATTTGAAAAATCTATTTTTCTCTGGAGTGAAACATTCTTCCATTTTGGCAAGAATTTTTTTCTTTAGAGATAATTTTTGAGTCAATCATTCTAATCAATGTATTATTAAACTTCCCTTAAAAGTTCTCTAGCCTACTATTTCATTGTAGAGACAGTCTATGATACGAAAATTTTATGTCACAATTTTTATTCTAATTTTCATATCAGGTCATTAAATCCTCATTGCATTTCATTTTCTAATATAAAATAAGAGACTTAAGAAATTTATGCTTGCACAGAAAAAGATTTCTTGATATATTTAAAGACGACATTATATTTTATAAAAGTACTTAAAATATTTTCAGCACATTCCTTAATTGTTAATCCTAGTAATATCTGCCAGATTATAAATTATCTCATCATCCAGTTTAGCATACTCGTTAAGCAGTTAAACATTATGATTCAAAGTATGAGCAAAGGGTTATTCAGCTATCAGGTTCCTTTTACTTTAATGGATTAGCATGAACTCCATTTAAATGGGTATCTATGGCTATAAAGAAAGGCATATCTTGCTGGGTATTTGACTTTAACAGAGGATTTGCCAATAGTAATATAACATTTTCTGACCCACTAAAAAAGAGCACCTCTTTATTTACCATCTTGACCTCTTCTTCTGTTCTCTATTAATTTTTTATTCTTTGAAATGCCTTTTACACCTTTTGTTTCAACATTCTAAATGCCACTCAGCCAGTCTAGCATTAACCAAGAGTATTCTAAATACTATCCTTTAATTGATTAGGAGTAGACATACATCATAGATACCATTTCCTTGATTAAAATCTGCCAGGACCATCCAGAATTTATGTTCTCTCAACCCTAGTTAATCCAGCAAAAGGGATATATAATCAAAGTAAAGATTAAGACAGGTTTTCCACAATTAGGTCATATTACAGAGTGATAGAAATATAGATAACAGTATTAATAAAGCCAAGAGATAGGTTACTATACTGTCCACTCAAACTACCCTTGTTATTTCTCGAAACTCTTAAGTACTTGATCTGTTTGACTTATTCCATATCCATCATACTATCTTTTAATTATCGTATTTTATTCTTGTCTTGTATTCTGATTCTTTAATATTTATTTTAAAATAAAAATCCTTTACACCCTCAAAAAAGAATTTCAGTGATTTTCAGAAACATTACTTTAGGAGAACATCACTGCATCATTTGCATAAGCCAAGATTCTAGTTTATATCACAAAATTCTATACTTACCAAGAAACTTTTATTTTTTTTTGATTTGAAGGCCAATCATCAATAGTTCATGTTAGGTGAGAATTAATCTAGAGGTAGATTAAATAGTTATCAATGAGGAAGGAACCCTCAATCAACTCCACCTCTAAATCTTAGCTACGTTAATCAAATAATCAATGTACATATTTTAACAAACCCATTTATAATTATCCAACTTGAAAGAGACCAAAATATCTTTTATCCTCTTAAAAAGGTAAATATAAAAATATTTTTTTACCATATTGTTAGCAACTTCTGATTTTTCATGAGTTATGTAATGTGAGTTTATATTCAAAGAGTCAATAAATTTAGCAAGTATTTATCAACTCAGAACAAATCTTCTTAAACCCTCCTATGAAGTGAGCATCTATGAAATGGAATAGGCTGAAACTATCCTCTTTATGGAAACTCAGGATGCATTTTATTAAATGGGAGTAGTTTCAAGGAGAATAAGTAAACTAATTTTTTAATTTCATTTATTTGGAGGAATCTTCCATTTTAAAATAAAAAAGAAAGTTAGCTCTGATCACTTGAAAGAATAAAGTTTTATTCCACTACTATAACTGGATGAGGTTTAGATAAGCATTTTAAAGTTGGTTATCTTGATGTTTCAATCTTAAGTCAAGGGGGTGAACTATGCGAAAGGTAAGAAGAAATTTTATGGGAATTGATGAATTTCCTAATAAATTTAATCTAACTAAGAGATAAAACGTCACTTTGAAAAATAAAAATCATTCCAGTCTGAAGTACGATAATGGAGGTTAAGAAAGTAGCTTATATTTAGAATTATATAAAGAAGATCTAAAAATATTAAAACCTTATAGAGGAAATTTAGAAGAAGTGAGCCAAAGGTGAATATATTTTAAAGAGTTACTGACTATGGAATGATAATTATTTATATTTTTTAGATGTTTTAGATGATTTATCATTATGAGCGGCCCATTAATATCTGGAAGATCATAGTCGCTGAATATTAGCTTTTAATATTTCATTTTGATTGTAAGCAAGAAGTGCATAAACGGGTAATGGATTTAATCTGTCTATAGCAAGCCTGGCTATTCCCTTAATTTATACAAGTTTTATTTCCCGAGAAAGGTTCTCCTTTCATCTTTTATCCCCTTAAAACTTTGAAAGTAATTAGTCTCTATGTCATTTCCTAATAACGACCACAGTTGATTACCCATTCTCTCTAGAAAAGTCTGAATATCTGAAAACTCATATAAGAAGTAGCATGCTGATAGTTTCCTCCAATTTTATTCATCACATTCATTTAGTTCACATCTTACAGTAACTTAGATTACATATCATTAATTATATTCAATTTGTTTCCTGTTTTTAGGTTTATTTCACTTTATTGTTGGATTTTTTGATAAAAATCCAGTTGAAGTTAAAGAAACAGTTGAGGAAATTTACACTCATGCAATCAAATATCACAAATATTTTAGGCTCATCCAAATACTTCTCCCAATATTAGGTTAATGTTCTTGTTCTAATATTCCTAAATGATCTAAAGAGGGGTGAAAACATGTTCTAACTTCTCAATCTCCTTGATATTAACCTCTATTTCGCTCTTCTTCTTTATGACAACACCTTTCTGCTGTTCTGCAATCATTTTGAAGACTTAATGCTAATGCTGACTCATAATAGATTCCTAATCTGAAAAAATATTTTCATCCCTTATGGGATCATTTATTATTTGATTCTCAAACGCCTTCTCATATTTATTCTATTTCTTTCTAATTACTGATGGTTCTTCGTCGAGTCTTTTGTTTGGAGTGAATCTAATAATGAAGAGATACAAATTGCAACATAAATTGGTCTAAATATATTGCAAATGCTAGAGGAAGAGACTGATTTCTTTATATCTCTTAGAACCTTAAGTGTACCTTTTTAGTGACTTTGGGAGAGAATTTCATAAAGTGTTTGGCCTCCTTGGATCTAGGCCTTCTATTTTCTTTCGCATTTTTGGAAATGGAGTGGTAAATGTTAGTCAAGTTAATGAGACCTAGAAGGTTTGATTTTATATTAATTATAATAAAATAACCTAGAATATATTATTTTGAAAATGACTGCTTATTTTTAATTGAAATGCATCAATAGGCTCAAATATCTTGTTAATTATTTTAATGTTAATAAATTATTGGGTAATGTAAAAATAAAGTAGAAGAATATGTTTGAGGAGTTTAAGAAGAGTTGGAGGTAACATAATAAAATCATTATTAGTTGTCTTTCAACAAAATTAATGCATTTCTTGATTAACTTCCTTTTGTTTCTTATCTACCTGTTTCTCACAACAGAGTTAACCATATTCCAAAATTAACTTAGAATTCATTCTTTTCAATAAAAAACTTTAAATATTAATTGATTCAAATCGATTATTCATAAACAATTTAAATCAAATCAACAAAAAATTTAATAATCAGAATAAAATAATACAAAAAACTATAATCAATAATTACATCTAATAATATAAGATAACCAAAATTAATCATATTCTAATCCATTTACTTTTAATTTAATCTAAATCACTCAATTAAATAGGATGAATTGTGTCATGCATTTGCTATTAATAAAGATAATTCAATTGTATTAGCTAGATGTAATTATAAAATTAAAGTATGTAAATTTAAATAAGAATAGTTGAAATAAAGTCATCTTTTAAGTGAACATTAAAATCATGTTACTGCTTTAAATTTTATGAAGAAATCGACTCAATTTATATCTGGCAGTTTTGATAAATAGATTATAGTATGTGTATGGATTAACATAGTTAATGGATCTGCTAATAAAAAT